AATCGCTAGTTGCTAGTTCATGGGCATATTTCTGCGGCTCATGCATCCTCCCACTAGAGCACATAATATACCTTCTTAAAGTACTTATAAGTATTTGTACTATCGGCTTGATTTTTTCGTTTGTATCTCCATTTTGTAGTTCAGAAGCAATTCCAACCGCAGGATCACATTAAAATTTTACTCTGTTTCAGTATCTGAACCTCACTGTTTCAAAGTCGCGGATTTTGCTATCGGTCCGAAGGGATTATTCAATCCACTGATACCAAATATCATAATCATTGTTCTTGGTTAAATGACATTTTCTGGGGTCATGGTAGGAATAAGGGAACAAACCATAGATTAGGTTGGTTTAGTCCAGAGAATTTATTCGACATGCCGATCACAAAAATCATACTCATACTCACATCGCTTTTTTGTTTACTCAGAAGCAACGCACTCTGGCAAAGAATTATCTTTTAGTTAGTAAACAAGAAAGCCCAAAAAGCTGAAACGGTCATAAAAACTTTCAGAAAAGAAGTCCATTCTCAGCGATTAGGTTGCGTCGCTCGTACGAAGTCAGCGACGCGATATTGCTGAGATGCGGCCAAATCGCGACGATTTCAGTTAAGGAAGTATGCCCGGAGAAAAATGGTCAGCGATTAGTCGCACCCGATTAACTATCACAACCGCAGGGCAAAATGGTCACCATGCAATGGACTCGTAACAGTTGTCTTGCCGCGAGGCGATGAAATCGCGAGGCGATGAAATCGCGTGATGTATGCCCGGCCCTTCAGTTTGGAAGGTTTTCGTTGAGTTCGAAGAAAGAAATACGGGCACTTTTCCGTTATCCGGACCCATTTCCTCAAAAAGCTCTCATAATATATGTTCTTCAGCCTAAGAAAATTTTTCATAGAATCTTCGAGGACTGCCTCCTTGTCACGTTTCACGAAAAAATTGACACGTTTTGGTCCATTTTAACATGCTTTTTCGAAATTATTTTCGGTGAGGTAAAAGAGAAGTTGTGATCGTTTTAAAGCTGCTTAACTGTTTTACATAAGCGCAAAACAATCATGAGCTTTTTCTAGAACATCTTGCTTGCTTTCAGCAGTGATTCAAAATGTATTTTCTTCAACCCTTTTCGCCAAGCGCATTTAGCCGAGAAAATTTATAAATGACAGTTTGAAGTATCTTGCTGCTGCTTATTTCGCATTTCAAATGACGGAATCCTAGCGCACTTTTCTAATGTGAGCAAGTCTAATCTAATCATCGATGATATTATGTCATTATTGTTATGACAATGTTCAGTTTGAAACTGTTTGATCGAAATGAGGTAAAAAAAATGACTAAAAAACAGATTGAACTTACATCGCTAGGTAGGGTAACAAGAATTCTTGGTGAAACTTGTTAAACATGTAGATGACAAGTCAAATTTTTTTGACACGTGGCAGAAGGTTGACATTCCTTTCTATGAAGCTGGGAGAAAATAAGGCACAGGGATAGAAGCAATATTTTTGAAAAAATGGGTCCAGATAACGGAAAAGTACCGAATTATGACTTTGAAGAAAATACGGTCGGGAGCTGAGAACCATCAGGAGACCATACAAAAAGCTAGAAAATACGGTTTGTACAACTTCTCGCTCCTGTATGATATGTTCATAGTGAAGGACGGTAGGACTAACGGATAAATACACGGCTTGAAATCCAGAACCGGAGCTTCAGGATTTGAAGCTTTCTTCTAGGCTGCATCCCCTCTCCGGCGGGGATGTGCATGTGGCCCTTAATTCTTTTCTGAAAAAATTCAATGTCAATTACGACTGAGTCATTGATCCACACAACTAATTACAGAATCTCCAACATCAAATCTTGATGAGAGAATAGCATATGGTCACAAGAACCAGTCTTGGAGATATATTAAGTTGAGCTTTTCAAATCAACATTCTCCGTGCCCTCTTTTACAAAATTTCTATAATTCTTTAAAACGAGGCCTTGTCAAAGGCAAAGAAATTAAGGTTGTACTTCCAAAGGCTCGTATACAGTTGTTACGGGTACAACTTAACATTGCTTTAATGAAAACTTGGAACTTTGTTCCCCTCAAGTCTAGCCAATGAAAGAATACTGCAGCTGTATATGTGTCTGATATAGAGAGCTTTGTTTTAGCGAATAGAAGGTCCTTGGGATTTTTTAGACAAACTTTCGGATTTCTCCAATTTAAGCATTAAGACTCTTCTAATTTGCTTGTATTTTAAATGGATCAAAGTTGGTGCAAATATTTGAATATCAGTCAACTTTGCTCCATCGAAAAGCACCCGGTACTCGTGTTCTTCTCAAAAAAGATATGCATTATTGAGGTTTGACAGAGTTGGTGCAGGAAACATGCTTCAATCTAAGACAATCCCCAGGTAGAGCAACATGGATATCAATAACAGACTTAGCGCAAAATAATGAAAAACATGAAAATTTCATGTTTCCACCTTATTTCGGTTTCTTAGAACCCAGCTACGAAAAAAAATTTAGCAAGCACATTTATGCATAATACCACATACTTGTCTTATAAGCCCTTGGCCCTGGAAGATCTTTATAGATTTTTGCTTCACCCACCTATTTAGGGTAATAAAAAAATTCAACTTGGATTACAATTTATGCAATCTTCTAGAACCATCTTGTAGAGCTTCTTAATTCTATCATACAGTAACCTTCTTGCATATTTTTGTGGTTCACCCTGTCCGCTAAATCAAAAATTCGTTTTCTTTAGAGGAGCAATAATCAGCATGATGGTAACAAGGAAACCATGCTTAGTCGAAGTGGGCATTTTAGATGGGATGTAAGCACAACTCCAACTCTTAGCAAGCCTGAATTTGAAGATCTGACGTAATTTTAACAAATACAAGTCAATTAACATGTTCCAAATGCGACTAGTGCAAAAACCTTGTGCACATTTGAGGTGTTTTGGCACGAAGAAGCAGTGTTCGAACTCGATGATTGGAAACATGGCAAACTGTGGATATGTCTGCAAATATGGTCAAATCGTTGCAATAAAGCGCCTGAACACATCAAGCAAACAGCAAATACGGTTTAAATAGTTTTACATTTGAACCACAGTTTGACAGGCATTATTGCTAGAATCAGCGATTCTTTGGTACAAAAAATTTCAACTTTTCCGGATTTCTGTTCCCGGAATCCTTTCTTCAGTACACGACCACTCTTTTCAAATTTGTGTCTTAATCCTACGGTAGTGAAGTCTAGCTGGCAACAAAAATCGCGCCTCTAGACGCAAATTCAACCAGCAAAAAGTTAGCCACATTCACGTGGTGAATGTAGATACTGTCGCCAACATTTCTGGAGCATTGCAATTTTTTGGCTTACCCGTGGGTTGAAGGATTAACTTCCTGTAAATGTTAAAACGGATTAGATGACGAGCGATTACGGTAGGGCATTATTTTATTTCCCGGGTGGGAAAAAATCTTGAAGACTTTTTGTAAATGTCGTTATATAGTAGTTCACCTTACTTTGAAAACATCAACCTATACGTGCGTATGCAAATGATACGGCATGCCCAGCGTATAAAAGCTATTGAAAACGACATCCATCAAGTTTTATCGTCGACTTCGTTACCACGCGAGAACGCACTGCTCAGCAAGAGCCAATTTAGCGTGCTTCCTCTACTGCCACGATTGCGGTTTGGTTCGAAAGTGTTTGAATGACTGCCTCTATTAGCAGTGAACCGGCATTAGGCACTCGAAGGAGTCGCAGTAGTGCGTCATTGCTCGTCATATGTGCCAAACATCCCCCGCGTTTGCTTTTACTCACAATCAACTTTCGGTACCTGCTGACCATACTCAAAAATAGTTAGGCCACTTCAAAAGTTTCTTCCCTCATGCTCGTTTCAGAACTGATTTCGGGAAAAATCTGCAGGTTGTTATTGTAGTAGTGGGAAAAAACAGTGCATAAGTTGACCTCTTCAATTTAGGTATAGTCACTGTTCATTAAAATTATCACAATGAAGCACGGTTAGATGTAAACAAACACGCAGGATTTGCTGGAAACGACACCTAGGGTAAGAGGGCATAACTTGCAAAACTTCACTGGAACATCTTAAGGCCAGCGTCAGATAGTTTTAGAACTTTGAGATGTGTCAGCTTGACTTTATTCCCAATTTTCACTAACTTTTGTTTGATTTTCTGGATAGAAGCAAATCACTTCCTATCAGATTATCGCCACAAAATGTACATTTCAAAATCATAAGAGATTTACAACTTCCAAGATTTTGCCTCAAGGAATGAGTTTCGCTCTGTTTGGCGTTGTCGGTTGTTCTCGTAAAAATCAAAGAAAAATGAAAAATGAGATTTGACATCGGTTGTTCTCGTTAGAATCAAATAAAAATAAAAAGAATGAGATATGACAAAGTAAAAGTACACTTTGCAAAGTGTGAATTAAACCAGTAGAAAATTCTTCTTTTTACCTCTTTTGGAAACAAGAAGCGTTCTGTCAAGTGCATCCCAGATTCATAGGTGCTCCTCAGCGTTGCTGCCCATTCAAAGTCAAAGAAAAACGATTCAAAGGCGGAGTGATCTAAATTTTCCCAAATTTCCTAGCTTGGTGAAGCGAGGCTTCAAAAGGTGAAAACTCCCTGAGGATCACTTCAAAATGCGTCATAACGGAAGACATGCTGAGCTAGTTATTAATTCTAGCATAGAAAATTAGAAATTCTCCGGCATGATGTCATTTTGCGATTTACTTCGACCAATGTGTGGTAGTGGCCTGTTTAAGCTGCAGTATTTACGATTGCCTGGTGCATTGCTCAAGCCTATACAAAGCGATTCCAAACTAGTTGTGCTCGAGCCAAATGCTCAGCATAGTCACTCCTTTTCTGAAGGTCTGTAGATTTCCTTTTACTTAATTCATTGCCTTATTCTTCAATCAAAATCAATCTTATCTATTCTGGAAATTCCGTTCACTGTCATCCCTTATTGTCAATGCAAAGATTTTCGCTCACAGCACGATTATCCAATATGTGAAATTTCAGAATTTGCAGGTAAAAATGTCGTCGCTGTACCGCTTGCTTTGTGCTGTTTTGCTAATGGTATTTCTCACAACTACAGTATCCTCGTCAGGTAAGAGTTTATTACGAGAAAATCAAAATGACATCTAACAAACTTTATGAAACTTATCGCTAAATGTAATGCCATGGTGCCATTTGAGAATAAAGCAGCGCTGGCATTTTGCAGTTATCCTTCTTTTGTTAACTCTGCAGCTTATCCTAAGTCCAAAAGCATTCGTTTGCAACCAGCAACAGACTCAACTTTTTATTCAGCACAGATCTGGACGGAATTTGAGCGAAAGCAAAACTTTTGGCTTGAGGAATCGAATAATCGATAAAAGATGGAGTGGTAAGGGACTTTATGCACGATAGCATCAGTTTGGTCTGATGATCTGTGCTCTGCTAAAGACCACAGCCTTTGCTCAGCATGATTTCAAAATTCAAGATTTACAGTATTTAACAGGGATCGCAAATAGAATTATTGTTTTCGAACATGAGCGCTGGTATCCGTGCAAACTGTTTCCCATTGGTATTTTGGAAACCCTTTTGGTTGTTATGTTTTAAACTGAAATAGACGTAAAAAATTAATCACAACGGTGGTTTAGAAAAAATCGAAAGACCATAATATCAGGCTGTCTCACAAGTTCTTTCATAATGACAATCTGCTTAATTCTAGTTCTCAAGTACAAGAAGTGTGGGCCCCTTTCAAACATTCACAAAAAGTGTGGTTAATTTATACATTTTGAAGCAAAAGTGTAAAATTCTTTACTTATACAAAAGATGAACTTAGACCCCATAAAATCATAGGGACCTCTAGATTCCTCATGCATGTGTTCTACATATCAGGCATATACAGGGTGTCCCAAAAAAATGTATCGAACGTTTGATCGTTGATATCTCTCTTCTAAAGAAGTCTTTTCTTTGGCTTCAGGTACCAATCTGTAGAGCTGGCTTCAACTTAGATTTGCATTATAGAACGAATCACCCACCTCTCTTCATTACTGTAGGATTACGGTAGAAACTTCAAAGAGGGTTTTAAGCAATGAAAGGCCATATTCTGCCTCGGAAAGGAAAAAAAACAGCCTGAAAGCTTTTACACTAGGCTTAGAGTTGCTGATTATAACTGTAAAGTTCCCAACTTATTATGATGCTTCATTGAAGAGTTATGCCAGGTAAGAGGTAGAGGCCATTTTTTCAATGTTCCTAAAAAGTGCGGTTACACCATTTAGAAAGCTTCGTAATCTTGTTAATAGTTGAGCATTGAACTCAGCGTCCATAAAAACCCTATTACACATGTTTTCACAATTTTGTGAAAAAATTTAAAACGGCAGCTTTTTTCGCATTGACACCATATCTTTCAAGTTTCTACCGTAATCCTACAGTAATGAAGAGAGGTGGGTGATTCGTTCTATAATGCTAATCTAAGTTGAAGCCAGCTCTACAAAACGGTTCCTAAAGCAAGGCAAAAGACTTCTTGGGAAGAGAGTTATTAACGATCAAACGTTCGATACATTTTTTTGGGACACCCTGTATATATGCGGTCGCAATGAACAAAATAGGCCAAAGTGACAGAAAATCCAGAAAATGTCGCACTTCATGAGTTTTGCTAAATTCGATAGTGCTCGAAAAGTTGAGCTTGTGGACGCTCAGAATTTATGTCATACTTCTAAGTGATAGAATATCCATATGAGGACAGCCCTGCGTGAGCGATGGGAGATCTGCAAGATTTTCTTGGACTGAATCAAGATTTTGTTTTTTAGGCAAGTAACGCTTCCTCCATATGTTAAGCCAAATATGCCGTAATAGCTACCTTCTTAATGTTTTCCAAAAATGCGGACATGTCGTAAATAAGCCTTGAAAGCATATAAGAAGCGAAACAGTAAAATCAGTATTCCCTGTTACATAAGATTTCAGAATTTTCGAAAAAAACGTTTTGAAACATCGGCATAGGCTGTGTACTAGAAGTTGCTGTCGTGGTCTTACTACGATGATGAACAACTACCGGTTGGTAAACTTTATAACGCAAATCTGGGTTGGAGCCAGCTCTACAGTATAGAATTCAAAGGCAGCGTCCACCCAAAATCTACTCACCCAAGTTTACTACTAATCCTGCTATCAGGTCCTACAGTTTGTGATGTGGTACTGCTGCACATGACGAGGTTTCGTGTTGCATAACGACGTGACTAGCGCTGGGTTATTCGTCCACGTCGGCCAAAACAGTGCTTCAGAAAGGGGCAGTTTTGGAGCTTCCTGGTAATTTGAACCTCACATACGAAATTATCGCCATGGAAAGGCCCTAAAACAATAAAAAACATGGAAGATGAAATTTTGAGTGGACGCTGCCTCAAAGAACCATACAGAAGAAATATTATGGATCAGACATTAGATACATTTTTTGGAAAGCCGTGTAGATATCAAAAACTAGTGCGCTTGGGCAACGCGTAACTTTTTTTCTGTCAGATCGGGAAAGCGGTGCCAACAACTGTCTGCATGACTAGTACACTTCCTGAACTAACTAACAAGGAAAGGATACTTGGTGACCGTGGCCCCTTTTGAAATGAAACTAACACCATTAAATGCATCTTGAAGCAGTGATTCCAAATCTGCCTTCGATATCTGCTGCGCGCTGCAAGAACAGTGATCCTTCTAAGCTAAATGCCACTTGCAGAGCTACGTTGCACTCAATGTGTGCAACTTGGCTTCATAAATGCATTTCGAGATACCTTCTAAATGTCGCTGACTGCTCTGAATCACTTTGCTCGGAAATCACTTGAAACGCATTTCGGTGATAAACCTACCGAGAACTACAAGTGCTCCACTTGAAGTTTGACGCAAAAAAAAATTTGGACCATGCAATCATCTAACAGCCAGAAAAGTTCTATAGGTTTTCCAGTTATTTGAGGTATCTCTTTGGCTTTGTTAGAAGCATTTGCTCTCTTTCAAATCTTTTCCGAATGTTCCTCAATATGCGCGCAATGCTTTTTGGCGAAATTCTTTCTTAGCTCTCACTAATTTTCTTCTAAGCGAGTCATGACATGGGTTTGAAAGGGCAGGCTTTTTGTTCCCATGTAGGGCAGAAAAGAACTTTTTAACGATTTCAAAGCGACTGCGGCGTAACGGGACAGAAGATTGTCGAGAAGACGACCATCACTAAAATGTGGCATACAAAACCAAAATGGATTTTTTGCACCCCATCAAACTTTATGCGGATCACTCCTGAACGAATAAGGTCTCACTTCTCAACTCTAGCAAGATTAATCCCATAAACTCTCCAGTAAGCTGCTCTTTTTCACACATTTTACCTGAGCTGTATGCGAAGAATGTTCCGTCATCGTGAACCAGCGGAATACGTTGCGAAATCAAGCGTGGATGGGTCGGTAACATCATAAGCAGAACAGAAAACAGATGGCATTAAAACTATCAAAGTGGACGGCTCTTCGCAAAGCTACTGAATACGATTTCTGCACCTGGAACTCGTGGATGCAGCCGCCAAGACAATCAAGAAGGTCGCGATTTTTGAAGCGAGGGACGGGAACATTGGAAGCTTCTGTGCTGGGGCTCTCACGCCACATGGAGACGAGCCATTCAAGCATCTAATCGACACATTGACGACCATGCAGATTGATTGTTTGCCTTTCGGGACTGAGGCCCCTCACGGATTAGTCAAGATTTTTTGGATCAAATCACGCGTATTGCCATCTACAAAAACCTACAGTAGCTCTGAAAAGATGGCAAAAAAAGATGGAGGTTGCTTCTTCATATAGTGCAAAGGGAAACTCCTGAACTGGGCGCCCGTAACTTTCCCCTCCCCCGAAAAGCGCTCTGCAGATGTGGAAGGCAGATTTGAAATCAACGCTTCAAGCTCTTTGTAGCAAAATGCATCCGTAATCGGCCACTTCGACTTCGCAACCCTCCCTTGTAAAGCATACATGGTGTCAGTGAGGTGAATACATCTAAACAAAGCAAAAGAGAGTTACGGATGTGTCTAGTGGTTCAGTGGTCGACCCAACGCGTTAGAGAAAACATTTTTGACCTGGACTTCTTTAACGCAGTTAACTGCAAAAGCAACTCCCATTGGGTGTCGCTTTTGCAGTTATTGCATAGCAGTTCACAATCAGCTAGCGAATCGGAAATCCGAGTTTGGAAATCTGGATTAGGAGATTGGAAGACAAATCCAAGTTCCGCAAACTAAAGTCAAAGTTAACTTAGAGAACGCGAAGCTGTAAACTCGGACTGTATACCAGATTACTACCGACACTGGAAACGAAGATCACTGCAAACTTCTTTTCAAAACAGGTGTTGACTCAACTCACTCTAAACACATACCTATTCCATAAGTTTTATAAAAATCTGTTTCATCAGAGTGTTCACAAAGTTCTTTTGATTTTCTAGTGAATGAATTCAAATGCGAACGACGACACTGGTGCAGATGTGTTCTCAGGACTTGTAGTAAACCCCCCTCGAGTCGTGACGACTCGCCCGGAGCGCGGCAAATGCCCGGAAAATGTCTTTTTGCTGCCGCCCCATGATAAGGGATAGGCGACGTGAGCGAGGCGTATGCCCGGCGAACGCCGCGGCAACGCCGCCGGCACGACAAGGCAGCATCAGCAAGCCCGTCATGCAGACAGTGGAGAAATAGTGGGTCTTGGTCGGAGACGCAAAGAGGTCGTGGTGCCGACAAATGACTAGCGGTCGAGTACGTCCGGGGTGGTGGTGCCGCCCGCTGTCCGTAGATGCACGCAAAGAATCAAAATGCACGTCAAATGCAATCAATATGAACAGCTGATAGCGCACAGTCGTTTCATACCGCTTTGCAAATCATTTGCCGACTTGTGACTTGTGCTGCAGACGCCCAGCTCAATAGCGCGCGACACAGGCAGTGCGCTATCCGCAGTGATAATCTTGTTCCCGATATCGCCGTCGTTGCGTTTGTAATTGTCAAGTGATAGCTGCATGTAGTCACAGGCGAGACTCGGCTGTAATGAGGCTGCTTACTAATTTCAATATATTAGCCTGAGGGCCTATCCATCTACCTCATGCACCTTTCTCTTGCTCACAGTTTCTACAGAAACATTGTCTGTAGCGCAGTGGCTGCGCGCGCCGCTCACTAAAGTCATTGCGAGTTCGGCGACGGATGATCGCGGAGTTTTTTGCGGCGGGCAGCCAGCGTTCGTCGTGCCCAAGTTGTGACGCTTTTTGGGAAATCATGACCACGTCTTCTTTGAATTGCGATGACTTTTGGAGGATTACTACTGGCCCAGGTGGCCCCAGTCAGCAAATGCGCTATTTAATTTAGGATTTACCATAGCCAGACAGTAAAACTATATGCGCATTAACTCACTGCCGTGAGAGACCGGAGAGAAATATTCAACAGATAGTATATTTAACAGATAGTAGATCCGCCAAACTTGCAGAAGCTTGGTTGAAATAAAAAAAGATCCGGTGTGCTATAGTATTGGCAGAATTTGAGTCTAGCAAGGAAACGCTCTAGTCGAACAATAAGGTACAGCTGACGCTTCAAAGAAAAATCGTAAAATTCGGATGTGTCAAGAGGAAGCTTCAGAAGTGCATCTGCCAAACTTGATCACGTCCCTACACTTCTCGTATTGCACTGTCTTGTTTCGAAAACTCAACTGCTTTCATATTCATAATGAGAGACAACATTTGTCTTCCGAAAAATTTTCATGATGCGAGCAATGATTTTTTGGCGAAATTATGTCCCAGGCTCTCACGTAAGCAAGCAGTAAGCATATGCAGCGGCAAGTCCCATTACAGGCTTATCAAATGAGATGTCGCTTGCCCCAGCATCTCCACTTCCACGCCTTACTCTGCGTCTCTTCGCGGAACATGCTCCTTAATCACTTTTAATCAAACTGAGGATCCGCCTTTCCCACGCTCACCTTAAGAAAGTACTAAGAGGGCTTGTTCCGCAGAAGAGACGCAGAGTTCAGCAGGGGAGTGGAGATGCTGAGGCGAGCGACACTTCATTTGATAAGCCCTGTAACCCACTACGTAATTGCATCAAATCTATTATTTGCATAGACGGAATCTCCACTTAGTGAATTGTCATTGCATCAGAAGAGTGAGAAGGCTACGCGAAAATACGCCCAAACTGCTTGATTTTTTTCTAATAAAAATTGAAAATCATCCACATCAAAAGCAGAGGAACTTCTCTTCGTCGAATATGCGTACTTGTAGTCTTCCCGGCCTTTTGGTCTGTGAAGGTGATGAAGATGGAATGTTCGAAAGTTTGCAAATTTATATAAACTTTTTGCTTTCAGCGATGTTTGATGGTGAGGTTGAATCTCCAGCTACATTTGGCTACATATTCAAGAAAAGAGATGGTCAGTTTTTATATTTTCGTTAGTAGACTAGTCATTCAGTACAGAAAAAACTATTTATAATCTGTCTTTTCAGTTCCCGCGGCTCTACCGTACGAATTGCCTGAGCATCTACTCAAGGCCATGCTGAAATATCGAAGATATTAAGCGCTGTTCGTCCCTACGAGTCATATTTTGATATTGAATAAAACAACAAACATCTGTTACCATGAGGCTAGTGCTGCAGTCCTTTTTGAAGGGTGTATACTGTTTTTTGTTCGCCGAGTATCACACAGATTTTCATGATTCTTATGCAGTCTACGGTTTATTAGTTCAAAGTTGAAGTAGGCGGTCTGCCGAAAAATTCTTATTCCAAATAGCGACTAAGTAGAGAACACGCTATAAAGGGGACCTACTATAAGCTGTATAGCAAGAGGTGTTAGATCGTGTACGTAACTGAAGCGGTTGCTAACCTGATTGTGATTGTAAGATAGTTTGAATCTTTCATCCAGATAAACCATGTTTGAGTGTAATTATGCCTCTTTAACCATGATGTAAAATCTTGACAGAGCGACGCGGTAAAGATGAGAAATAAGTGTTTGATGTGAAGACCCTAACCATAAGACGCAAATTACGAGCGGTTATTCACCGGACGAAACCGTTTTAGAATAGGAGGAGTTGACCAATTTCACGGTCATCAAGCCAACAATTTCAGCCCTCCCTTTGACAGACAATACTTACTCAATATCTATTCTCCCATAATACAATAGGAAATAGCATGACACCAAAACAGGTGTGTAGATGCGCAATAGGAAGTTAGAACTAACTATATATGGGAATTTATGAAAAAATGATGTGAACAAAAGGCGTGGCAAATTTTTTCAAAGTTAACTGGCTCTTGTGCCACCTGAGGCGGCTGGCATGGCTTAACACCCTACCATGCGTGCCGCAGGTCAGAGACGCAGACAAGAGTAGTAGCAGCCTGTGGAAGGGACTTCAGCCTTATCAGTAACAGGTAATCGTCACTTCATTACGATTCCAGATTGACCGAAATTGCTCAGACAAATTAGCTGACATCCGCCCGGACCCGGACCTCTCTTGTGATAGAAAACACCAGGCCCTATTTCGGTACAACATCTCCCTGTCCCGATCCTTTCTCTTACACCAGTACCCTGCCCCCACTTCGTAATCAGCAAGCCCTACCCATAATTTTTAGAGCCGATGTTATATCTGTATTCAGTATGATCACCAGGGTTGAGCGTGGGGTCAGGCGCGCCCGACCTGGGGGGTCGTACTGGGGTAAGACAGAGGGGGGGGGGGGGTCGTGATTAGGAATCGAATTCGTTCGATTGAGGAGATACTACGATTAAGATGAAGAAGAAAAGCGCTACTTTAGTGGATATCGCGACCTCACCAGTACTGAAGGAATGAACGGTCTCAAACAGCATACTGATTGATTCCACAATCGAAGTTTCGGCCAAAACTCAAATCTTCATCTTCTACCTTGATATATTAATTCATCAAGGAAGCTTGCTGTGCGAAATGGGTATCATTTCCGAGCACGTCAAATTACCTCTATGTGCCCTACAAATCATTATTTACTGCATTATCTAGTGTTTCTCAACGACTAAAAAGCGTGATTTTCAAACATGATTAACTTGTTTTCAAAAGTGAGAAAAGTCAATTTTTTTGTACTCGTAACAAAGTATTGTTCCCTACTAGTCTAATCTAAAAATCGCGCTTTGTATCACTTGCAAATAGTGGAGTAAGAAATAATGCCAAAATTCCGACCGGCGCGTTTTTCGCCATGACTGCTTCAACTTCACGAATTACCACAAGGTCGAAACAAGTCGAATCAAGCCCAAACACTTACTGTGGAATCCTGAGGGTTGTGCTAGCGATTCACATAAAACTTGAATAAAAAAGCTTCTTCAATGATAAAGTTAATCGGGTCAGGCGCAACCCCACAAAAGGTCAGGCCGCCTGAGCTTTTGAGGGGTTGCGCCTGACCCGATTAACTTGTTTTCAAAATCTAAAAATCGCTCCATTTCTGCTATGAGTATTGAACTCAAAGCCTCTTCTTGCAATACTGCAAATTTGGAGCCAAACAATACACCCCTGTGGGAATTATAGCTCTAAAAGTAGGGCTATCCAAAATCCAAAACTTGCCGTCAAGTTGCGTGTGCTGTGCAATCGCAGAAAGACGACCTACAGACCTCCAAAAAACAAGAACCTCCCAAAAACGGCTAATCTCTTCGAATTATCACAGCCTGAGGTCCTGGAGGTGAAGCAGGGGGGTCGTTTAGGGGCTTTCACTGGGGGGGGGGTCGTTTTGGAAAGACTTGTGCCTGACCTCTTGCTCAACCCTGATGATCACCTACCCTCTGTGCCAACTCCCAGTCGCAAAGCTGAATCTTTGCATAAATTAATAAAATCGAGAAAACCGAAACTGAAAAGTAGCCTACGACACCCGCCCCGCCCCGAAGTGTATGTGTGAAAGTTTAGTCTCGGTAAATAGAACATGCCCACCACATAGAGACACAGACAGGCAAACAGAATTCAGCTTTATATACAGTGACCGCCAAAAAGTTGCGGACAAGCCGCCTTCCTTCTTTCATCGCTCATTTTCGGATAGAAAACGGATGAAAAAATAATTGGATTGCATATGGTGATAGAGCTCACCAAGAGCTACAACGCACACATTGCGCTTTCTGGAAAACATGTATTATAAAAGTTTTAAAAATCTTTTTCTAGAAAAGGTCCGAAAATGGCCGCGTCACAATGTCGCGGACAATAATTCTTCGAACGCGAAAATTTTCTGTTAGGTCTTTTCTTGGAGCAAGAAGAAGTTATCCGGACAGGTAAGCATACTATATCGTAGAGCTCATCGAGGGCAATAATCGGGTAATGGTTCCTTACAAAAAAACCCAAGCTTGAGTTTTGTTTTGCTTCTTTTCAAAAAATAATTTCTAATTCCCTTCTTCAAGCCAAATTTCTTCACATGGAAATCTATTCAAGGCATTCCAACAAGGCTGTTTGGATAAAATGGATGCTCTTTGCCATCCTCTATGCATTGGACGTGTACTGGTGAGTTTCTTTGCTAAAAATGGCTCTTGACAGTGAGTTCACATGACCCCACCTGCACCTCACCGCTGACTTGTACCGCTTTGCAGGCTTGTATCTCAGCCGGCAGTCACTCCACGAGCCTGCAGGTAGGCTCATTCGAAAGACCGGGACTTCCTCGACATGACGGTATGCAAAAGAATTGGGTATGAGAAAAAGCAGAGATTTGGCGGATGGGGTGACAAAGCGCAGCGTTAAAGGTGAATGGAGTGAAGGCTCTTATCAACACCAGAACGGTCTTAGAGCTCCGAAATGGATCTATTACAAGAAAATTGACGGTTTTGAACTTCCAGGATGAAACTGGTGGCGAAAGAAGCTTTGCTCAACTCTAACTGAAAAATCCTTAGCCTACCACTGAAGCTGCGCTTTGTCACCCCATCCGCCAAATCTCTGCTTTTTCTCATACCCAATTCTTTTGCATACCGTCATGTCGAGGAAGTCCCGGTCTTTCGAATAAGCCTACCTGCAGGCTCGTGGAATAACTGCCGGCTGAGATACAAGCCTGCAAAGCAGTGCAAGTCAGCGGTGAGGTGCAGGTGGGGTCATGTGAACTCACTGTCAAGAGCCATTTTCAGCAAAGAAACTCACCAGTACACGTCCAATGCATAGAGGATGGCAAAGAGCATCCATTTTATCCGAACAGCCTTGTTGGAATGCCTTGAATAGATTTCCATGTGAAGAAATTTGGCTTGAAGAAGGGAATTAGAAATTATTTTTTGAAAAGAAGCAAAACAAAACTCAAGCTTGGGTTTCTTTAGAAGTAACCACTACTCCGTTATTGTCCTCGATAAGTTCTACATTATAGTATGCTTACCTGTCCGGATAACTTCTGTTTTTGCTTCAAGAAAAGACCTAACAGAAAATTTTCGCGTTCGAAGAATTATTGTCCGCGACATTGTGACGCGGCCATTTTCGGACTTTTTCTAGAAAAAGATTTTTAAAACTTTTATATTACATGTTTTCCAGAAAGCGCAATATGTGGATTGTAGCTCTTGGTGAGCAATATCACCCTATGCAATCCAATCATTTTTTCATCTTCGTTTTCCATCCGAAAATGAGCGATGAAAAAAGGAAGACGGCTTGTCCGCAACTTTTTGGCGGTCACTGTATAAAGATGAGATTATAAGCACAGTACGAAAGAAGCTAATTTCACGAGTACAAGGCACCTTCATTTTTTCGAGCAAGCAGTTTCGCCCTGTGCCTCGCGAAATGTTTGCTCTTCTACACCATTTTTTTGGTAAGAAGAGCACGGTAGAAGGTCCTTAGGTCGCGAAATTTCTTGTTGCTTTCAGCTTGGCCGAGTTAAAAAAAGACGGGCGCGTCCTGTAAAATTAGGGTGGTTCCCTTGGTAGGACCAATGAGAACGTTTGCACGTACTTCCCCAGGAGACAGGAGGGGAACTGCGGAAACTGTTAGGAGACGCCTTATCCTTCAGTTATCTAGAAATGTGTATTTCTCGTAATCTACCCATCTTTCAGTTGCTTCCCTTTTGAGAACATCACATAATAAGAGACAGCTCGCTGCCATATAAGCTCTTTCATTTTGATTTCTTAGATGAATTGTGCTGAAGACCTAGCAATGCCAAGCACGGAGTGTGTGAAAATATCAAATCCCAGGATTGAGAATTCTTCGATCAAGCACCGCTCTCATCGGGGTTTATCGAAAAACTCTCAATTTCTTTATTAGTCCCATCGAAATCATGCTTAGCATTGGCATCATGGGTTCCCGTACAGCCAACGTCTTTATTGCTGTATGTAAACTATAAAAATGAGGGTGATCCATTGAAGCATCTTTAGGAGATCATAAAGAACAATGAAGTTTTAGTTTATATGGCAAAGCGCTGGCCCTGATAGATAGAAAACAAGGAGTACAAATTTATAGAATTACTAGTATGATAAAGGCGTCCCTTACAGCTCATTTTCCTTTCCAACGGTATGTATAGGCCTAGGAGAGGCTTAGGAGTATTTGCTCTAACTAAGTTTCTGGAGAAAATGAACAAGTTTTCAGCAAAGAATTCCTGGATGGTAGATAATTAGCGTCACTTCAGTATGAATACTTCAGGCAGGGTGAGTGAGAAGATTTGCTCTAGTCTTGGACCAAAACTTTCTAGGAAAGTTAAAAAACTTTTCATGAGCAGCAAATGCCATTTCCTGTGAGACTCGCTTTAGCTCAACCAGCTCCAGTGTATTGCCTCAACCAACCTGCTATCTCGTAAAGTCGCTGTTCTTTACCAAAATGTGGGATTCTATTTTGAAGGAAGGAGATTTTAGCATTCAAGTAGTTAAACCTTGCGTTTTAGTACGCGAATCTCAACATTCTAAAACACTTACTTTGATTGGTGTAAATATAGTGCGATCAATAACTGTACAGACCCATATTCTGAGGTCCCGCCCTTCTTTGAATGATAAGCCATGATAATCCACCGTATACATTATTTGAAGCTT